ATATTCTTATAAATATATTTATATATTTTTACTATTTTCTCTGCAGTGTTTATTTAGATTAATCTATTATATTGCCTATATATTGGCAGATCTTTGAATATTAAAGATCTGATAACTGTCAGTTGCCCAAACAATCACCAAGCACCTGTTGTCAGACTGCTAGTTTTCCATACATACATTGAAACTACAGTAATGTTGCAGCATGCTAGAAGATTTCTTAATCTTTAATACAGACTTGCAAGTAATCAAATGTATTGTTATCACTTTGTTGTTAATCCAATTATGCACAAATTATGTGAGAGTGTGTTGTCTCAATGGCAAACTGCCCAATTTGGGCTTATCTAAAAAAGCAGTACAAATATCAATGATGTGCAAAGCACAGAATGCCATAGCAATAAATGAGATTTCAATTTGCTGCAGTCAGGCTATTACAGTAGGGTTTCAACCCCCTTTTATGGATTACTGTGCTGTGCATGCACCTTATTGAATAAGCCTTTTGAGCAGAACTGATTCAGTGCAGGTGCTCTGATGTCCGATGTGCACAACATTCAAGATTTGGCATGCTTTTTACTTTCATGGCAGGTAAAAATTCTACAATGTCATGAAAGTGAATATTATATTTAAATGTCCACTTTAAAGAGCCACTGTCACCTTGCCCATGCAGGGCAAAGTGACAGTATCTCTGCAAATGGCCCATCACCACAACCCCCTTATAGTCACCTTACCAGTGCTCCCCCGCCACTTCTTTCACCTCTGCAGCTCTCCACATCATTTGGTATTTATGGAGGGGCATGCAACCTCCTCTCCTGTAAGAGTTCTTGGGTTTAGCAGTCAATCACTAGCCCAAGCACTTTACATGACCAGGGTAGTGGTATATGTGCTCCCCCCGTCACTGACACCAGCTATTTCAGTGTCAGCTACAGAGGAGAAAGAAGTACTGGGGCAGTGATGGTAAGGAGAGTATAGGGTTTGCAGAGACACTGTCACTTTGCCCTGTATGGACATGGTGGCAGTGTCTCTTTAACATTTTTTCACTATTAGTAATGCTTGGTTATTGGTGTCGATTAAAGGGTTATTTTTCTATCTTGATGTAATGGGCATTTATATGCAAGCATAAAGTAACATATTTTTCTTGATTTAATGTGCATTTATATGCAAGCATAAAGTAAATGTATAAATAAGTAGCAATACTACATAAACAATTTATTTCCTAAGTGGCTAAAACATTTGATGTAATTTTCAGATTTCTAATACAACGTGCTGCTTTAGGCAGCAGTGCAGACGTTTGTTAGGTGTACATAAACGAAAGCTAAAAGGTGTATACAACATCTAGGTGATGCAATTATATTAAACAATTAAATCCTACAGATGTAGAATTATACAATCCACAAAGCCCATAGTGCACCATGATATTGTGTATTTTTAGTATGTCTGAAGGAATGTGATTTCTTAAAGTAGCTTTTTTTTTCACTTGTAAAATGTGTTGCTTTGAAGGGCAGATTCAAACTCAACAGAATGCTGCATTTTAAATATCAGGCAAGTCTAAATAAATCATAATATTAGCTTAAAAGGAAATCTAGAACAAATATGCATTAGATTATAAAGAAATCAATATTTAAGAAGTAATAATGCAGATAAAGGATAAATACAATTTAGAAAACAAAATGGTCATCTCAAATTGTATTCATGTGCTGCTTTAAGAAGGCATCTCACATTCTCAGTTTTCACACAGCAGAGATATTTAAAAAGAGCACACAAGGAATGTCCACTGCAAAATAATACAATCATAACTTACAAAAACTAAAATGGATCTTCGTACATGTTTTGCCGTTTTCCTGTGCTGGGGCATAACAAAATCCAAAAATAGTATATTGATATCATTGAATTAACCTGCACCACCTGCTGCAAAATAATGTCATAAAACACAGGGTAGAGCCTAAGGTATAACCTACATAACTATATAGATTTGGAATCCACAAATTCTTAGATAAATCTATGAATACATATCAAAAGAAAACAAATACGATACAGAAATACAGTTTTCATGAATTGAGTAACATGGGCATACGTACATGCAACAAAACATACACATAATAGCACAAAAAATTAATTATATCCAAACCTCAAACTTTTTTTTCATTTTGAATAGAGTAGGGTTAGTAGGTGGTTAAACTCCTGTAATTTTTTTCTTTGCCTTCTATATTCCATTGGGGAGATTTCCTTTCACTTTCTGTTCGGTAGACACAACAGGAAGTGAGAGACGAATTGTCTCCATAGTGAGGGACATCCCCTGTTAAACAGTTGTCACTGGAACAAGGATCCCAATTGAAATATTTTTCTATTCCAACTCTAGTGGCAACTCAAAATTTTGAATTTTCCCATCACTTTCAGTCCCAATGACAGAGGTAATCAGCACAAATCAGGACAATTACAGAGGATGAATCTCCCTAGCGAGGACAAAGAAAAATCTAGCAGGGTACAAATAACTTTTCAGGTTAATGTCAATAGCTTAGATATACTACAATAAGCCTCTTGGGCATATTTAGTAAAGCAGTGAATGTGCCATTCACCAAACATTTACTACAGGTGAATCAATCACTGAAATTGAAAACACATGCACCAGGAAGATTCACCTGCAGTAAATTTTACAGCTCCATGAATTTGCCCCTTACATATACCAAACTGTAAAAAAAACGGAGGCAGCGAGAAAATATCTGAAAAGGTTACCAAAATTTCAACAAGGAGAAAGTTGCAGACAGTTACCAGCCCATAAACATGTATGGAGGAATCTGTCATATTTTCTTCATTCAATCCACAGGTTGAATGAAGAAAATATAACCATGTATACCCAGCTTTAGTGGGCTTTAGTAGTTTAGCACTCAGTCCACAAAAATGATGAGTGTTCTCAGTCCACAACAGTGCATTTCTGACATAAAAGGTATTTTTCTGTACTTTCAGGGTCTTTAAATTGATAATACATGGAGCAAAGTGCATGCATTGCAGAGATGTACTATATAGTATTTTTTTTTTCTGATGTACATTTTAAGCAGTCTGAGTTATTGCTCTGAAAATCGTCCGAACTTCAGATAATAACGAACATCCAAAGCTAAGTTCTAATTTGAGTATCAGAATCAGTGATTATTGTCTTCTTAATAAGGGTGCCAACAACCAACCTAGCCTTTGCAAATAATGCATTACATATGAACATCACTTCCAATGATCACTCAAGAATTGGGTAATGCAGGATTTCCCTAGAAGTATATAACCAACACCTGTAACCTTTGGAAGCTCTTGTTATCCCAAACACAAAAATTCCAGCAAGGCTGACTGTCCTAATTTAGCCTAATTTTGGACAAGAATGCTTCTTAATTTAACATGCCTTATAGAACTGCTTTGATGACTAGTGAAACTAATCCACTTTCCCATTTCTTTTTCTAACCATCACCAGACATATGAAGGATAGAAGCTGACATGTTGGAGTGTTTATAGATAGTTTTTCGTTAATCCAATAAGGAACATCATGGCATTTATATTATTAATTTTAGATTGCAACAGGTATTTTAATAGTAGTTAAAAATTGAATTATTTAAAATGATACTGTCATGGTACTAGGGATGTGAGCCCACAGATGAGCAGGTGACACTGGATCCCCCCAGGGGATGTATTTTGTTATTGTATTTTGGGAAAGGATGGGGGTATGCCTAGTGCTGGTCACAACATTTTGGGGCCATGCAGTGTCCCTCCTCACGGAGAGATAAGGAACATAGGGAATACATACTTCTTTCCCATGCTTCACCACTCAATTTACTGGACAAATCGGTAATTTTGTGATATTACATTCAACTTGGAAAGAAAATATACTAATACTATTCATTTTTGTCTCCATTTGTCTCCATTCGCACAGAGCTCATGGAGTCCCAGTGAATAACTGGATCTGCAAATTGTTTATAAATACATCCTATAATGTTTCTGTCAGCAGCACAAAACAGGCAGTCTAGGAGGGCAGGGATAATTCTGGCCATGGGCTTGCTGAAATCTGCATGCTGTACTGAGAAAGGAGTTCATGGAGTAGTATGTGCAAACAGCTTATGCTATCAGCTAAAGGCTACTGCAGCTGTTGGATGCATAGTTTACTTTTAGTAACAGGTTTACCTGAAGAAGATAAAGAAGAAAACTGCCTGTACTCTTCCAAAGCACCAAAACAAATATCAAAGTTTTCTATACCAACAATCTTATTTCAGTGCCATTGCCACATTTCAGATCTGACCAATTAATGTAATTGCTATCACTAAAGACAACACTGAATGGCATAATTCTTCCTTTAGAATGCCAAAAAAATATGCTGTGTTGATTTTATAATGTTTTTATGGGTAGAAGCAGCATAATTACACTGTTTTATAAACAGAATTTCTAAAGTATATTACTGTCATGTGAAAAAGAAAGTATACCCACTGGAAATTGTTGACTTTTTCAACATATCTAAAAATGCAAATAATAGCTCTACATTCAAACAGTGTCTAGAAAGAAATTGCACCAATTTAAACTATATGGGAGGCATTCCAGGAAAAGCCTATGTTGTCCAAAAAGAACGGTAGAGCAAGAATACAGTTTGTTATTGAACATAAAGGTAAAGACGAGTCATTCTGGAACAATGTTGTTCCAGAAGAGTTGTTAGACCACAGAGTTGTTAGACCACAGTAAAAGTGTGATGCAAACTGAAGAAAGCATTTCAGGAGAAGAACCCAGTACCAGCTATGAAGCATGGTGGTGATGTAGCACTGGTTTAAGAAGTATTCAGGACAACCCAACACTAGAGAAAGGTGAGGAGGAAGAGGAACCATGACATCATGTGATCGAATCACTGACCACTAGAAAAGCGATATGCACAGAGAAAATAAAAGAGCACAAA